AGTTAGCAGTTGGACTGTTTTTGGTTTTCTGCACGTAAACGCCAGATGGCACGGACTGAAGTTAGGGGGCATGGTGAAATCCATCATGTGAACATCCTGGCAGCCTGGTGCAGTGCCTTCATCCTTACCTAAGCTCTTACTTCCAGTGGGAATGTCATGTTTTGGTCAGCACTGAACATGGACAAAAGACGACTGTATTTCAGCTTTAACAGCCTGGCACCTACCTGACAGCTCAAGAAATACCTACTCGATCAGAACATTTATTTGGCAAGCCTGAATTTTTTTCACCTATGGGCAAAGAATAAAGGAAGTGGGAGCACAGGGAGGAGCAGACATTTTTCAACTCCAGGTGCTGCCCAGCAAGACCCCACATACCTGTCACGGAGCGTGTTGGGACCCAAGTAGGGGTACTGGCTGTCCTTCAGTTTTCCTTTGATGAGCTGATCCAGTGTTTCTTGAAGGAGAGGCTGGTGTTGTGCGTACACATTCTCAACACCCTACAGTGCAAAAGAAGCTCCCATTATGAATAAATACAGCAAGGCAGCATGCTGAAAGAAAGCTGATCAGCAAAGCCACACTCAAAGAGCCCCAGCATCTGATGGATATAGCAACTATTAACCACTGAGTCAAGACTCAGAGGGGCTTTTCAGCAACCAACTTCCATTGCCTAAAATGAGAATTACACCTCAAACGTTCAGTGCACTTACTATTAGACCTCTAAAAAGCTATTGAACTCTGTGTCATGGTCTTATCGCTCTTTGCATCGGTATTCTACATCCACAGCACCATGCCAGGGTGGGAGCTGAGGAGTTCATGGGGCAGGTCCGTGTTCTGAAGAGAAGAATGAACTACAGCTTCCATGGGCCAGGAAAAGACTCAGCACCAGAAGACTTCATTTTGTTATTTTCTGTCTTCCGGCAGGAGGGAAAAGTCAAAAGAATGGAGAGGTTACGCGATCTCTGCCTCTTTCCAGCTCCCTGGTGGCCGATGCAACATCAGAGACTCAGTACCAAAAACTCTCTTCCATTCATTTGATTTATTAGCTTCAATTCCAATTAGTTCGCATTTCATCAAGGTTTCTTCCTTAAATCACTGCCGCTGGGTTTTTTTGTTCCTCTTTTATCTGGGCCCACCCCCCCCCCCACCCTTCTGGCCACTGAGCCACGTAGGCCCCTGTGAAGGAGACAGACCCAGGCCTAGAACATGAACACCTCTGAAAGCCAGAACGCACGGCTAAGAATCCTGCCCCATTACTGGAGCTTTGACTAAAGCTGTCAGTATTTCATCTATGGCAGACCCATACCTTCAGTCCTTTGAGGAACTGTTTTGTGATGGCTACAGCATCCTTGGGACTGAACAGGTCGCTGCCCCGGACCCGTTTCCCTCCATATTCCGCAACAGCAGAGACCAGCTGTACAGAGAAAGGCAAAACCAGAGTGCTGTTAACCTGGGAAACAAAATTTCACACAGCTGTCCTATCAGGTTCAGTGGAGGTACTGGAACAATGACCAAGAAGTCAGAGAGAGGAAAGAAGGAAGAGAAGTGTTCTCTGAACACAAGAAGCCACGGCACTGCCTGCATAAGGAGAAATGCTTTCATTCCCACAGTCCTCTGCAGTGACAGCAGATCAGAAGATGAAGATACAGTGACATTATCCTGCCCCTCCACCTCCCCTCCAGCTGCTCACTACATTTGTCAAGCTCTGCCACCCTTTCCCTCCCAGCCAAGCCCCCCCTTACTGTTTTGGTTAAGTCTCTTGCTACAGCTATTGCCTATTCAGCAGGAGGTGGAAAAGAAGGAGAAAGGAAAAGTGCATGCCATACACCAGGTCTAGACTCCTGCCAAACACACCATCTCTGCTTTGTACAATCCTTCATGATATCACTGATTTTGGAAATGGACACTAAGTAATTAGCGATGCCTTTAACATCTTCAGGCCCCAGCCAAGCTCCGTGCTCTTACTGAGAAGTGTGGTGCAATTCAACAGAAAAAAAGTATTATGCTACGTTAAGGCAAGCAACAGGCATCCTCCAGCAACTAAGAACAATCCGACACCTGTGTCTACCTGTGTCTGCCCCGCTCATTCATCCAGCAGGAGAAATACTGCATTACCTTTCGGTATCTCTCAGAAACACCCCTATTCTTGAGATCTGCCATCAGCCCTGGCAGGCTGTTGCTGCTGTGCCGCTCGTAGTGCAGGGCATAGAGCATCACCAGCCGGGCAGCATCGAGCTCAGTCACCTTGGGGTTCTGCAGGAGGCGCCGCACATTCTGCAACAAGATACCAAGTGGGATCAGTGGAGAGGCCTTCAGAGCACATTAAATCAGATAACATCAAGCCCATTGCTTAGTAACAAAATTGCAAGCAGGGGGAACGCGAGGGAATTAAACGACCATAAGTAACAGACCTGAGCTTCTTATATGCTCTTTGTTTAGATTTACTGCAGTATAATGGACTGCAAGTTGTTTTCATGACTGGAATCCCCTGTAATTCTCTGTAACTCTCATAATGAGCCTCACAGTGAGCCCAGCTCAGTGCACTCCTCCCAAATGGGGTATCGCAGAAGCTTGCGGAAACCTTTAATCTTTGCCCTTTCCTTTTCCAACCTGAATACAGCAAAAGCTGGCCCACAGGTTCCATCGTAATATCAACCATCAAGGAAAAAGTGCTAGCAGAGCTACAGTTTGTTTTGTTGTGGAAGGTGTGGGAATGAAGCATCGAAGTCTCAGACAATCTCTGGATGTGAGAAGTGTGGGGCTGGGGGGAAGCAAACAAAGCACTTTGAAACAAACAAAGAATTAAAGCACGGAAAGGCAAAGAAAGATTACTGGAGAAATAAATACAGAAATCCACAGTTATTTACTTCTAACATGCAGATTATTCGTTTGTCTGCTGAACAGAACATGGCAGCATTGTAAACACAAGGACTGCACATCCCAGAGGCCACCAGCTGAAGCATTTCCAGAACAGACTCAGAAGCCCTGAGGCATGCCATGTTCCCTGCAGGGACTGCGGGCAGGACGTTATTCTATCTTGTCAGCTGACAATTTGCCCTGTAAGTGCTACTCCTCGTCATCACAACAGAAGCACTTATTTCCTCTCTGCAGCTTCTCAGTCGCTGCGCAGAGCCGTACAGTTGAGATGCTGAAGTTAACAGAGGAAAAAACACCAGAGCCAAGTTGGTAGCTTAGGAGAGCAGTGGGAGCAACAGGCTCCTTAACGCCAAGCCTGGAGACGGATCTCAAGGAAGAGGCAGCACTGCTGACTGCACCTGCAGGTTAAGGACCGGACTGCACTTCAGGGCACAACAAAGTCTGCAGTCCTCCCTGTGCTTAAAGCAAAACATCAGCCTGTATTGACTCAAGTGTAAGAGAGCAGCAGAGCTTCCAGTCGTACAGCGATTGAAACGGCACTTCCAAGACAGGGACAGAACCAGCGAGGAGGATTTTTTCCATGCTACAGCAGAACATGACCTTCAAACACTCCAAAAATCCCAGCACATCTTGGCAACATTCTCCCAGCCTCCCAGAACAGAGAGGCAGCACGGAAATATTCAGTGAACAGCTGTGAAACAATACTGTAACAGTTGTTACCGACCGAACTGATTCAGCTGTGTTTGTTGCCATCCGTTCCACTGATGCAGACCAGTTACAAAAACATGGGGTAAAATCCTGGCTGCTCGCTGTTCACTGAAGCTAACGAAGAAACTCTTCTTGCGGTCAGGGATTCACCTGCCAGGGTGAGGGCAGAGTCCCACAGCGATGCCTGCTTGCCACGTTCTGGATCCTGTGCTGGCAGCACAGTGGCAATGCCTCTATAAGCGGGAAACTTGTAAACAGAAAAGCTATTGTCCATCTAAGGAGATGGGATTCAAAACCTCCCATCCATCTCTCAAGGCTCATGTACAATGTCAGGATTAATAAGAGACCAGGAAAAGAATAACCAAAACGTACTGTTCTCAGGGGCCCCAGGCCACCACAGAAATTAACAATTGCTGAAGTTACATCAGTGGGAGAACAATTCTGCCTTTATTTTGTGCACTGGTTATTCTTCATTGTGTCTGTGGCCTTGCCCCTTCGCTGCCATTAAGAGACTGCAGCAGGGAACAGCCTGGGGCACTGCAACTAAAGAGATACTGATCTCTCATACAGAAAGATACCACTTCCATTTTTGCATTTTGCATTTATTCTCTAGCTGCTATTTGGTTTTCAGTCCCTCTCAGTTGATAGAAACACAACACAGCCCTTTAGGCATGTGGCTGTAAAGAAATGCAGGCAGCCTATGTGCCATAAAAACTGCAAAACACCACTCAGTGCAGACCTGAATTAGGTGAGCCTAGCTAACAACCTTACCACCACTGCATGCCACTCAGTGGGGGCTGCCCTCCCTCCATCTCAATCCAGCTTCCAGCACTGCCATGTATTCCTCTAACCCTAAAGCTGTAACGTGCAATTGCTCCACCTCCAGAAGTTCATGTCAGCCCTTCCTCCAGTGAATCTGAGGTAACCGACTACAATAAAAACCAACATTTTTTCAAAATGGACCCCAATGCCAAGCACCCAGGTTTCAGCACTCAAACTCTGTGCTGCACACTCTTCAGCAGAGCATCTGCTTGTAACATCAGAAACAAAGATCACAGACAGACACGGCGTCCTGATAGACTAGAAGTCAAACATTTGTCTTTTAACCTGCACAAGAAACCTAGAAACCATGACATAGCAAGAGAGCATGAGGGGTTGTGCTCAGCAAATGCATTTTATGGTTACAATCCCACTTCAATGGGATCACTTGGTCAACACAATTCTACCAAATATAAGCTATCAAGTCCCATCTATCTGCTGGTAGATCCATAGAGCTGTGATGATTTCAGCACGTCTATGCTGATTTACATCAGCTCAGGATCTGGCAATAGACAGCAGTGCTCAAAGAGCTGATGTTATCACTTAGCCACCCACCTGGACAACAGAGTAACAGAGGTCAAGAAAACATGTCTGTCAAATCTGTTCAAAATTCTTTTTATTTTCTAATCAAAGTGTGAATGAGTCCATTATATGCTGTAACTTCTATCCCAGCTATAAAAAAATAAATGACTCGCTTTCTAATACTGAGTCAGTGGTTGAACTCTGCTATGATACAGTCACTCTTAACAATACTGCTATTTTCTCTGAATAGGCAGCAGCCACAATTCATCATTATTGACATACTGTCAGATATTCGGTCAGGTCATGGAATCCAACAAGGCAGCACAGGGTCAAAACTTCTGTCTAAACTCAGCTACAACAGAAGTCTCTCGTAGGCTTTTTCAGTCCTCTCTGCCAAAGAAATCTTTTATCTAAAAGGCTTTTCACTGTCTTACACTGTTTTTTAGAAAAGAAGTAAAAGACATCATCTCAAGGAATGGTCTGGTTTAGTTATGGATTCCATTTCTTCTCCTTCCCAACAAATACAAGAAGCTCCTGCATAGGGGTCCAAGTTTTGTTTTACTGGTGCCTGTCCAGGCAGCTTGCCAGGTCCCAACCAGCCACCTACAATGAAGGAATGCTGTGCTGTGAAAAGTAGACAGACTCTGCAAAGATGCTTCTCAAGCCAGTTATTAACTCTGATTCATCCCCATCGGAACTGAACAGGTAGGAGAAGAGTAATCCTTACGTCCCTACCCTGCAGGACATCTGCACGCAAAACTCCCACTGATTTTCAGCATCAAACTTCCATCAGCAGGAGGCTGCCAGGAGCAAAACATCTGAATTCAAAGGACCGCAGCCAGGTTCCGAGCCCGAAGTACCTGGAGGGCGCTGGAATGGTCGCTGTGACAGGCCAGCTCCTGCTCCACCTCAGACACCTCCAGCAGGTTGCGCTCACCAACCAGTCGCGAGAGCTCTCCTACCACCGTCACGTGCTTTGACACCGTGCCTGACATCTTCTTGAACTGAGGGTAGTTCTCCACGAATGCCTGCGAGGGGGAAACCAGAGCGACACCTTCTTCAGAATAAAAGCAGCAGACAAGAGTGGTGTACGCAATTTGTCACTGGGTTGTACAGATCCACTAATAAGCAAGACCGCTGCAGGTGCACGGATGGTCAGGCACCTCAAATCCAGAAAAAGACTGAAAGATTTCTCCAGATACAAGGAGATTTTTGGCTGTGCTTTTTGTTTACACCCAAAATAAAAGAACACATCAAGTAACTCCAGAGACACTGCCAGGATTCTTTAAATCGTCAGCAGCGACTGAATTAACAGACCCTGCTGTGGGCAGCTGCCAAGTGACCCAGCTCAGACAGGAAGTCTACACAGCCACACTGGGTTACGCCAAGTACCTGAACTAGAGCTTATCAACTCAGCTGGGGGGATTCTGGCTTCCAGCAGGCTCTAAAAGCAGCTCAGGGAGCAGACAGAGCAAGCAGGCTGTGCTGCAGCGGTGCAGAAAGGCCAACCCCAGGGTCTGGATCCCAGTAAAAAATACCGTGCTGAACACAGGACAGTGGTTCCTGCCCCACTGATCACTCACTGCAGAGGTCTGAACTGAATGCAGACTGCCAGCGTGCAGTCAGCAGTGACCTGCACTACCTGCCAAGTCCTGTCTGTACCTTCATATCTGCTATGGATTCCAGCTTCTGCTGCTCCTTAGGTTTCCTCTTCTGGAAATCCTCCATAAGATTCTTGATGTTGCTGCCAATCTCTGCAAAGTTCAGGTACATGTTCTGCATGGAACAAGGAGGGCAGCTGAGAGAAAACCATCTGAACACGAGTTCTAATACAGCTAAGACACAGAGACACTCTGAACCCAAAACACTTCAGTACCACTGCAGATCACCTCATCTATTTGACACTCAAACTTGACCAAACAGCTTTGTGATTGGTCCAGATTTTATTTACAACTATCACAAAACCGTGTTATTACACATCAGATACTGCCTGCACGACACAGTGACTTTCACCCTACATAAACTTTCCTCCCCTTAACATTCAAAGTCACTGAAGGACCGAAAGGTTCCAAGAACGGAACCTGACTCCAGCATTCAGCTACTCAGGGAGATCCCCACCATAAGACACAGCCAGCTACGTTGGCGTAGAACTCGTCGTTCTCAGCAGACAGGACCACCTCTCGGAGATCCTTACTGATGCCCGGCACACGCGAGAGGTCAACGCGGTTGTTGTTGATGCCCAGCAATTCATGAACCATAGCCTGGTACGTCCACTGGCACATGGGGAGAGAGAAAGGCGAGCATTGGCTTCAGCACGGTACCACACTGCGCTGGAAAAGATTTCAGGCTGCTCAAGGTCATTTCCCATTCCTCCAGTAACAGCGCGGACTCAGAGGGTCTCCTCCTCAAACTTCTGTCAGAACATTACAGTCAGAAATAAATGCTGTTCCTATCACAAAGGCATCTCAGTGTCAGAGGTGCTGATGCCAACACGTAGGAAAACCACCCCCATCCGAGGCTGCTTACCACAGGTACATTCAAAGGAAATGACTCTAAAAGCACAACAACTGGGATTCGTATTCCTGTTCCAGCAGCTCTATTTGCCACCATTAGCTCCCCCTTCTCCTGTGAATGAACATTTATTTTTGGCTGCAGAGGTTCCACAGTTACAAACTATAACTTCCTACACACTCCTGTGCTTCTTACACAGCAATTGGAGAGTTCCTGTACATCAGTGAGCTACTATATTTATTCTGGGAAGACTCATTTCAATTTAGAGAGAAAACTGAAGGCTGATCAGAGTGCTGGCATGCCTGACGCTGCATTTACATTCATTTGACTCTCTCTTCAGGACAGAAAATCTCCACACAGCAGACAACACTTTTGGTACCCTGTGCTGAGTGCTGTCCTTAACTCTACAAGCCACATGTGAGCTTGGCTGCTGACTATCAGATTGCTCCAGTGCACAAGGATCGCCACCAGCTCCCACACAGCGCTGCCTGCAGCGGGGGGTAACCCAGAGTGACTTGAGATCTGAGCATATCCCACAGAAAGGAGAGAAACAGAGCGATGCCAGGTCTGCAGCACAGCGACAACGCAGCAAAGAAACAAACCACAGAAAAATGCTGCCACCCATCAACAACAAAGAACGAGAAATACGCCAGGACACTCATAGGTCACGCAATACAGGTCACTCTGTAAACATACTACCAAGCAGCCTGCACAGACACACCATTTAACACAACACTGCTGAGACACCAGGACTCTAAATGCAAAGTGTACTTGATCTGATCTTTGGCCACCTCTGCCTCTGAAGCCAACACGTACAATCCACGCTCAACAGTCTGAAAATTGAGCCACAAGATAAAAGAAAGATTGCAAAAGAACGGGGGCAATACTTTTTACCCCTGAATACAAACCACACCGTCAGGCTGTGAGCTACTGCCACGAGGCTCTGCGCACTGCCAGCACTCACTGCTACCCCTCGGACAGCTGAGGTGATTCACCTGGTTCAGCAGGGGGGTGATGGCATCGTCTGAGCGGTCCAGAATAAGGAGCAAAGGAGGAACCTCAGTGCGACGGAAGTCAAACAGCTCATACTCTTTAGTGATTACTTGCTGTTGAGAAACATACAAAAAAAACCCACTTGGTTATAAGTATACCTGGAAAAAGTTCCCCCTCGCTTTTGTAACGGATGAATAAAAAGTGAAAAGCTGGAGAAAAACAAGCTGCACTGCAATCTCAGTCTACACTGCTATTGAGAAAACAGCTCCTGCTTTCAAAAGGCATCAGTAACACACTGCAGTTAATGGGACTTGTGAGAAATAAGGGCCTTCGCTTCTCGCATAGGTTGGGGGAGGCAGAAACAAGGGGATGCGACCTGCCGAAAGCCACGTAACATAGAAATGGAAGGACTGACAAGAACTGGCTAAAGAACATTATGGAAAAAACGTTCAACAAAAATTAAGCAAAGTTGCCAAACTCACTTAACACTGCTCACCGCACCTTCACACATTCAGCAAGCCTCTTTGCTGGCTCAGAAGAGAGTTGGTATCGAATCATGGGGCATTTCTTCAGGGACAGAAGCAGAGCAGTCAGCCCTTGAGTTGTCCTGGACAGCTGGGCTGGATCCCAGTTGCGACCCTAGAAGGAAAGGTTGCTTGAGAGATGGACGTGCCATCCCCAGCCCTTTGTCCCATGAAGCTGCATTTCCCTCCAAGCAGACTACATGTTGACTACAGGAGCAGGTACACCAAAGGCCACAGTCCAGACTGTAATTCCTGCTAACAACCAGCCACCCTTTGGGGCTGGACACGGCATTCTGCCTGCTGGGCAACCACTGCCACTGCACCCACTTGGCTGTGGCTACTGGGCTCTCTGTCACCACAAAACAAGGCCCCGGAGCCCTGCAGGACAGTTAGCTTTTTGCATACCTGGCAGCAGCCCAAGAGGTTGAGAGAAAAAACGTGTGGATTCACTGCAATGTAATCTCCATAGAACTCCTGCCAACAAGTGAAAGCAAATACAGTTAATGCCCTGCCCAGCCCTGTTCAGCCCACAAGAGCATGTGTATTGGCAACGGTAAAACCCTAAGCGCTGCACTCACTGACTCTGATCACTTCTCCTTCCTCCATGCCTACATACTCACAATCTTTACACTTCTGCTGACAACTCCACTGCCACTTCCTGTTGTACTTTTCACGTAGATAGCTCTTTGTTGATGCCAACAAACACGCAGCAGCCTTGTGAAATGATGCCAGCAGCACCAGCAGCAGCTCCAGCAACTGGAGGGCAGAGAGAAATGGAACACACGGGTTTTCCGCAGTGTTGTTGCTCACTGTTCAAGACCTCCAGAGTCCTCCTTTTGAGACATGCATGTTTGCTAGCATGTGTATTCACCTCCTAATGCCCTCGGATTAAGAATCTACTTAAAAGATTCAAAATTCACCTGAATTTCTGCCACAACTTCCTGTTCATCAGCCTCAGCTAATGCCTTGATATCACTCTTACTGATCACATTACTGAAATCTGAAAGAAAACAACAGAGAAAGAGCAGTTGGGCTCCGTGAGTGACACAGAACACAAGAACACCACAGCACAGCATGACCCGATTCTCCCCTGGAGCAGGAGTGGACTGCAACACAATTTGCCTTCACACCCATAATTACTGTGCAGGTAGTCTCTCTTGCCTCTCCCTGCTCAGCATCTGCTCAATTAGGTAACGCCATACACGGCTGTAATTAGTAGATTTACAAAGCTAAAAGATAAGCACTATTAACTAGTTTAACACTGTGGCCAGCTTACTGCAAGCTGGAGCTTCTCAGCATCGCCGTGTCAGCAGGTCACCACCACCCGCCCCTGCAACCCGGAGCTGCTCCTCCAGCACTGCGGGCCCACAGGGACACCTGGAGGCCACTGCGGATCACTGCCCAGAACCTGGCGCGCACGACGGCTGCACCTCAGCAGAAAGGCCGCTGTAGTTACATTTCCATTTCCAAACCTACCGAATATTCGACAGCACGAACAGAACGCGTGAGGAACTCCTGCCTCATCCACCAGGGTTACAAGACGCTGCGCTCTGGGTTTGGCCCAACAAGTTAACACTGTCTCTGAATGATTTACCTTCCAGACTTGGGCCAGTGTCTCATCTCTGTTTCCACTGTAATAAAGGCACTCTAAAGCCAGCTTCTTTCATGTTTACGAAGCACCGCGAGGCTTCAAAATCCCTGAAGTTTTCAGGAATAGCCATAGCAGGGTAATATGGGTTATGGCATTGCTTTATGAAGATTCTTATCAGTTGTTTCAGTTTAACTATTTTATTTTATATGCATGTAACTTTTTCTAAAACAATTTCATAGAATGGCTTCAGTTGGAAGAGATCTCAGAGATCACAGAGCTCAAATCCCTCTGCCATGGGCTGGATGCCCCCCCCTCCCCACGTCAGGCTGCCCAGGGCCCCATGCAGCACAACTTTAGGCACCTCCAGGGATGGGGCACCCACACATTGGGCTGCACATTGGGCAGCAGTGTCACGGCCTCATCACACCCTCACTGAAAACATGTCAGCCTAAATCTCCCCTCTCATTTTAAAGTGCTCCCCTTTATCCAATCACTGTCTGAGGAAAAAGCTGATTTTTCTTATAACCGCCATTTAAGTACTGGAAGGCTGCTCTCAGGTCTCCCTGGAGCCTTCTCTCCTCCAGGCTGACACCCCCAGCTCCCTCAGCCTTTCTTTGCAGGACAGGTGCTCCAGCCCTTTGACAATCTTCATGGCCTCCTTGAACCCTCTCCAACAGCTGTTTTTCTTGTGCTGGGGCCCAGCCCTGGACGCACTAATCCAAATGGGGCCTCACAAGGGCAGAGCAGAGGGGGAAAATCCCTCCCTGCCCCACTGCCACCCTTTTGCTGGTGCAGCCCAGGATGCAGTTGGCCTGGTAGGCTGTGAGCGTTTCCTGCTGACTCATCTCCAGCTTCTCATCCATCAGGACTCTCAAATCCTTCTCTGCAGGACAGCTCTTAAGGAGTTCTTCTCCCAGTCTGTACTCGTATCTGGGATTGCCCCGACCCAACACTGCCTTCAGCCCTGTTGAACCTCACTGAGTTTATACGTGGGCCCATTCCTCAGCCTGCCCAGCTCCCTTTGGACACCATCCCTTCCTTCTGCTGTGCCAACTGCACCGCTCCACTCTGCAGAGAGGGACCTGGGTGTCCTGGTGGACGACAGGTCGGCCATGAGCCAGCAGTGCGCCCTTGTGGCCAAGAGGGCCAATGGCATCCTGGGGTGCATTGCAAAGAGCGTGGCCAGCAGGTCGAGGGAGGCGATCCTCCCCCTCTGCTCTGCCCTGGTAAGGCCTCATCTGGAGCACTGCGTCCAGTTCTGGGCTCTGTACGAAAAAAGACAGGGATCTCTTGGAAAGAGTCCAGGAGAAGGCCACAAAACGCTGAAGGGCCTGGAGCATCTCCCCTATGGAGAAAGGCTGAGTGAACTGGGTCTGTGTAGCCTTGAGAAAAGATGACTGAGAGGGGACCTGATCCAGGTCTATAAATATCTAAGGTGTGGGGGGCAGAGCGGCGAGGGCGGACTGTTTTCAGCAGTGTGTGGACACAGGACAAGAGGGAATGGCCAGAAACTGCAGCACAGGAAGTTCCACACAAATGTACGCAAGAACTTCTTTAGGTGAGGTGACGGAGCACTGGAACAGCTGCCCAGGGAGGTGGTGGAGTCTCCTTCTCTGCAGATGTTCCAGACCCACCTGCACATCGACCTGTGCGACCTGCTGCAGGAACTGCTTTGGCAGGGGGTTGGACTCCGTGATCTCTGCAGGTCCCTTCCAACCCCTATCATTCTGTGATTCTGTGATCCACTCAGTGCCATCAGCCACTGCTGAGGGTGCACTTGGTCCCACCGTCTGCACCACCGATAAATACATTAAAGGGTAAACTTAGATCTGGCGATCTAAACAATGTAAAACCTGCCATTCAGCCATTTTCAGAATCTCAGCGGCACTCTGCCCGCGGGGGAGGCCAGCGCCTCCCATCGGCGCCTCACTGAACGTCGGGAGCTCCGAACAGCACGTACTTACAGATACAATAGATGCTGTACTTCGGCCTCCGCAGCTCCTGAATGAGGCAGTGCACGTTCTCCTGAAGGAACACACAGCCACAGAGCGGCGATCAGAGGCGCTCAGCCCCACCGTCTCCCCGCGGGGAGGGCTCTCACCTTGGTGGGCCGCAGGAAGCAGACGGCCTTCAGGTGCTTCATGGGCTCCCTGCCGGGGGAGTCGATGCGCTCGAAGAGGTAAACCTCCTTCTGCAGGATCTCGGACTGCGTGTACACCATGCTGACCGCGCCGGGCTGCGGGGAGAGCCGCGTCACCGCGCGCCGAACACCGGCCCCGCGCCCCGCCCGGCCCGGCCCCGCCGCTCACCGTCTCCCGGTCCATCAGGAGCACCTTCATGCCCGGCCCGCTGTCCTCGATCATTTTCGACACGTACTGCTTCACGGCGAGAACGGCGCTCATCTCCGCTGTGCGCCTCAGCCCCGCTCCGCTCCGCGCCGGGCCGCGCAGCCCTCCAGCAGCAGGGCATGGCGAGAGCGGCGCGGGGACGGACTACGGCTCCCGGCATGGCGCGCGGCGCCGCACTTCCGCTCCTGCGCGCCCCACGGCGCTGGACTACGGCTCCCGGCATGCCTCGCAGAGCGCTCCTATCTTTGCTCTCCGGGCGACGCGCAGCTCGCACGGAGGTTTTCAGGAAGGAGCCGTATGAGTGTGACACAGGTTGGTGGCGTTGCTTTCTAAACATCACAGAATCACAGCATGTAGGGGTCGGAAGGGACCTGTGGAGATCACAGAATCACAGAATGGCCGGGGTTGGAAGGGACTCCAGGATCACGAAGCTCCAACTCCCCGCCACACGCAGGGCCACCAACCTCCCCACGTTTCACAGCAGCCCAGGCTGCCCAGGGCCCCATCCAGCCTGGCCTCCAACACCTCCAGCGATGGACGGGGCATCGCAGCCTCTCTGGGCAGCTGTTCAGCCCCTCACCGCTCTCCCAGCACACAACTTCCCTGACCTCCAGCCTCCAGCTGCCCTCCCTCCGCTTCCAGCCGTTCCCTGCTCTCATCTCCCCTGCCCAAGAGCTGCCTCCCCTCCTGGCTGCAGGCTCCCTGCAGGCGCTGCAGGCTGCACTCAGCTCAGCCCCAGCTCCTCTTCTCCATGCTGAACGAGCCCAGCTCCCTCAGCCTGGTTTTGCAGGGAGATGCTGCAGCCCCTGCTCATCTCTGCGGCTCCTCTGGACCCTCTCCCACAGCTCCCTGTCTTTCTTGTCCTGGGGGCTCCAGCCCTGGACCCAGTGCTGTAGATGGGGCCTCATGAGAGCAGAGCAGAGAGGGACGATCACCTCCCTGTCCCTGCTGCCACCCCTCTGCTGATGGAGCCCAGGATCCCATTTGCTTTCCGAGCTGTTACCACACACTGCTGGCTCATGTTCAGCTTTTCATCCATCAGGACCCCCAGATCCTCTGCAGAGCTGCTCTCAAGTGCCACTCCTTCCAGCCTGAATGGATGCCTGGGATTCCCACCCACTGCTAGAGCAGGTTCCCTGTGGCAGGTTGCAGTCGGCTCTTGGCTGTCTCCGGGGGAGTAGACGCCGCGACATCTCTGGACAGGGTGTCCCAGGTCTCTGGCACTCTTGTGGTAAAGAAGTTCTTCCTTGCCTTTATATGGAATTTCCCATGCTGCAGTTTGTACCCATTGCCCCTTGTCCTGTCACCGCACACCTCTTTGAATCATAGAATCATAGAGTCCTTAGAGTTGGAGGGGATCTCTGAAGGCCATCCAGTCCAGCCCCCCACTGATGAATAGGAACACCACAGCTAGATCAGGTTGCCCAGGGCCTGGTGCAGCCTCGCTTGCAAGTCCCCAGGGACATCCACCACATCTCTGGACAGCCTGTTGCAGTGCCTCACCACCCTCACTGCAAAATACGTTTCTTTATATGTAACCTAAATCTACCCTCTGAGTTTGAAGCCATTTCCTCTTTTTCTGTCACTACAGACCCTGCTAAAGAGTTTGTCCCCTTCTTTCCTGTAGCTCCCCTTCAGATACTGAGGCTGCAATCTGGTCACCTCACGGCCTTCTCTCCAGGCTGCACAGCCCCAGCTCTATCAGCCCGTCCTCATAGGAGAAGTGTTCCGTCCCTGGGATCATTTCTGTGGCCCTCTGGACACATACCAAGAAGTCCATTTCTCTCCTGTACTGAGGACTCCACAGCTGGATGCAGTGCTTCAGGTGAGGCCTCACCAGTGCAGAGCAGAGGGGCAGGATCACCTTCCTCGCCCTGCTGGTCACACTTCTTTTAATGCAGCCCAGGATACAGCTGGCTTTCTGCACTGCGAGGGCATGTTGCTGGCTCATGTCCAGTTTGCCATCCACCAGCACCCCCAGGTCCTTTTCAGCAGGGCCGTGCTCAATCCTTTCAGCCCCCAGCTCATACCGGTAGTGGGAGCTGCCTCGAGCCAGGTGCAAGACCTTGCATTTGCATTTGTTGAACCTCATGAGGTTTACCCGGGCCCACTGCTCAAGCCTGCCTAGGTCCCTCTGAATGGTACCCACCCCTGTGGTGTGTTGACGACACCCCACAGCTTGGTGTCATCAGCACGCTTGCTGAGGGTGCACTTGATCCCACTGTCAATGTCCTCAATGCAGATATTGAAGAGTATCGGCCCCAGCACTGACCCCTGGGGAACAGCACTCGGCACCAGTCTCCATGCAGACACTGAGCCACTGAGCGCTGCTCTCTGGACTCGATCCTGTAGCTAGTTCTTCGTCCGCTGAACAATCCACCTATCAAATCCATATACTTCCTATCTGGGGAGAAAGATGTTGTGGGTTACTGTGTCAAAGGCCACACTAAAGTAAGAATAGATTATATCAGTGGCTCTTCCCTTTTCTGTTACTGCAGTGATGCCATCATAGAAGTTGGTCAAGCCACACCGATGCTTTGTCCTGGTGCAGCCACACTGATTCTCCTGCATCATCTTCATATCTTCCATGTGCCTTAGCATAGCTTCCAGGAGAATCTACTCTGTGGTCTTTCCCAGCACAGAGATGAGACTTGGTCTTGGTTGGTAGTTGCCAAGGTCATTCTTTCTACCCTTAGAAATGGCTGTGATCTTACCTTTTTTCCTGTAACTAGAGACTTCGCCCCATTGCCACAGCTTTTCAGACATCATTGTGAGGGGCTTGGCAGCTATCAGCCAGTTTCCTCAGGACTCTGGGATGTGTCTCAGTGGGAGACTTGTGGATGTTGAGGTTCCTCAGGTGGTCATGAATCTGATCTTTGCTTGCAGTGGGAGGAATGTTGCTTCTGCAATCCCCTCCCACCAAACCAAATGTCTGAGGGCTGTGTGGCAAGCACAGGACTGAAGTCCGCTGCCATCCACTTGATACCTATGCTTCAGATATTTTATAAACAGTCAAGCAGATTCCCTCTCAGCCTTCTCTTCTGCAGGCTGAACAGTCCCGAGATGCTCAGCCTTTCCTCATACAGGAGATGATCCCCATCTTTTTTGAACCGAGAAGCCCAGGACTGGACATGATATTCCAGATGTGGCCTCCCCAGGGCAGAGCAGAGGGGCAGAGACCCTCCCTGGACCTGCTGGCTCCCCACTTGTAATGTACTCCTGGATACCTTTAGTCTTCTTGACCGTGAAGGCACACTGCTGACTCGTGGGCAACTTGCTGGCCACCAGGACACCCAGGTCCTTCTCAACAGACATCTTTTCCAGCAGCCTAGCCCCTAACCTGTGCTGATGCATGCAGGTATTCCTCCCAGGTGCAGGATCCTACACTTGCCCTCGTTGAACCTCCTGATGTTCCTCTCTGCCTGTCCGCTCTGTGCGGCTCTCACCAAACGGCAGCACAGCCTTCTGCTGTGTCAGTCACTCCTCCCATCTTTGTATCGTCAGTAAACTTGCTGAGAGTGGACGCTGCCCCTTCACCCAGATCATTCATGAAGATGCTGAACAAGTCTGGACCCTGAGGAGCGCCACTTGCTGTAGGCCTCCAACTGGACTCTTCACCGCTCTGAGCTCTATCTGTCCTCCAGTTCTCAGTTTACCTCACTCTATCCCACACTTCCTAAGCTTACCGACAAGGAAGTTATGGAAAACAGTGTTGAAAGCTTTGTCGACGGTTTTTGCCAAAACCTCATTTTAAGCAGCAGAACCACATTTTTGCTCGTATTCCTTTTACTGGTGACATACTTCCAGAAGCTTTACTTTTTATCCTTGACTTCTCCCACCGTATTTCATTCTAAGTGGGTGTCATGGTTCTATGTTTTTTGTTTTTGTTTTTTGTTTTTGGGTTCCAGTATTCCACATCAGAACATCATGCAGTGCACGGGGCATTGAAGTGTCACTGCCCCAATCCCAGGTACCGATCCCTGTACATTACAGCAATCACGGGATCTGGCCCTTCCAGGTGGGGCCGCTCTCTTGCTGCCTGGCAGTGGGTGCTGGAGGTGCTTTCCTGGCCGTTCCAAGCTTTTCAGGTTTGAATCGGTCCCGGGAACTCTCTCTCTCTCTCATCTTGTCTGATTTATTAATCTCAATTTCAATTAAATTGTATCTATTGTGTTATCTTGTATTCCAATATTATAGTAAAATAAATTTTCCTCCATAGATTGTTGCCGCTGCTCTTTTCTCCCTTCCTTCCTTCCCATTTTTTTGTGGGACTGGGGTGGGGGGGGAGGGCAGAGGCCTGTCGCCCCTGTCACGGACATGGATGGATCTGGTCAACTCTGTGACAGATTTTTGGCGCCCAGCGTGGGGCTCGAGCTGCTTTTTAGCTTTTAGAACGAATCTTTTTTTCTCTCTGCTCTCAGAGAGCTTCGTTAGGGAGCATTATCAGTAGTTCAAGTTTCTGTGCTGGAAAACCTGACCTTGAAAGATTAGGCGTACTGCCAGTGTTCTGGGATATTTGTAAACTTTGAGCACTACTTAGTCTGTGTAGTGCCTTTTTTTTCTTTTTTTTTTTCTCCTCTTGTTAGCTTCAATTCATTAACCCCTTTTTAGCAAGCACCAGCGATGAACCCACTCGTTATTGTGGGGGTGCTGGGTAAAGGATTAAAAGCAATGGTGTTACTCACAACCTACTGGCCAATAATCCATCTCACACGTGTTGTGGAATTGCATTCATATATAACTACCTAAGGGCACTGATGGAGACACCTATGTTTTACCTACTTGCAATGTGGTATGATTTGAACTTTGACATTTACATCCCGGAAGGAATGGCTAATTTCACAAACAATTACATCCCAAATGGAATAGGTGATTTTACAAACAACACGATGTTCAGACCAGTCTCAGGGTTTTCTTCTCGGTTTGTCAAACGTTTTACGAGTCTTGAATTAATACTCATGTTGTTGTTGTTGTTCGTGTCATCAATTCTCCTGAGTGTACTCCAACGCATTCATAATAAGGAGTCTTCCCCAAAACTAGAGAATGATGACTGGCAGGGAATATGGAGAGGTTAGGAAAGGTCTTAGAAGCATGGGGACCCGCAGTGTCATGGGAT